GTGCTCTGATTGGTCCAAGAGCGTGAGCATACCTGACTTTCTATATCATAAAAGCAAAGGATGGAGTGACGTGTGTTTATCGATGAAATAAAGCACTTGGGGATGTTTTTCCCATACTTTATTGCTTAATTCACTTCCAACATCGACTATCTATTGCCCTCGAATGAACGCCAAATGACGGAAGCTCTATTAAGTTCTTTGGCAGAAGTAAATACGGCTCATGAAATAAACGCTAAACGTAGGAAAAATAGGTTTGATATTTGACAATATTTGTTTTATCAGCATGGAATCCACGTGCTGGTTAGCGATACTGCACGTTATCTCCAAGAAGACCATTCCAGTCAGCTTCTATACACCTTGCGAAAGCAGCTTATGGGATCACGACTTGAGAAAGTACAGTCAGCACTGATACAGAAAAACAGTATACCAGACAACAAGAAACTTGTCAAGGTATTATTTAAGTCATTTTTTTGATCGTGTATTGATATTATTGTACTTATTCAGAAATTTAATGTTTTTGTTTATTTTTTAATCTGCGTGTCCAGGGAATCTTTGCCCTTGCAAGGCAATGGAAGTGTTTCTTGGCTGGGACGGAAAAGGGAGAGATTCTGTTCTATGGTACAAACTCCATCAAGCGTCATGTTGTGGGACGAGGAGTTCTTACCGAGAGAGATCGCGCCATTTTAATGAAAGAGGACGACCAGCAAGTACAAGAGAACACCGATCAGGAAGTAACTAGCGATGGTGGCCAGGAACAAGGAATTCCAACAGGAGACCCGTCGTCCATCAATTCTGATGACAATCAACAAGAAGGTAAACTGTTAACAGCAATAATAGGAGCAATGTCCAACAATATGATATGTAAGCAACAATAACAACAGCAGCAACGGCAGCATCACCTCCAACAACAACTACAGAGCAGCAATAATTACAATATGGCTTTATGCAATGCCAGTAACATCAATAGCAACAACAACAGCCGCAGCAACAGATATTTGCAAAAAATAAAAAAATAAAAATAAAACAACAATAACAGTATCTGTATGCAATAATCAACACAAGCGATAGCCGAATTGCACGAAAACACTCTAAAATATACCAACAACGTCAACAACAACACCAAAAACAGTGGTGTGCAACACCAACATCAATAACAACAACAACAACAACAACAAAAACAGTGGTGTGCAACACCAACATCAATAACAATAGTATCAACAACGATAGCAATAACTATTACAACAACAGATATAATACCACCATAGAGTAGCAGCCATAACAACATCAATGACAACGAAAGTTACGATAAGTCATTTGAGATTTTATAGATTCACGCTCACTTCAAACGCCACTGAAACGTCAAATTGGCTTTTCTTGGACAATTTCAAACAAAAATGAAAACGAATCGAAAGAAAAAGTGCAACGTTTATGCATGAGAAAACTTTATATTTTATGTGCAAACCCAAAAGAGCGGAGCGTTGATACATAAATAACAGTGATCACGTGATTTGTTTGTGACGTTTTGCGTTCGAAAGAAAAAATTAATCTAAATCTCTCTCCATGGCTTGTTCCATGCATGTTAGCCCTACTCCCGGAGTGAAACCTTTTCGAGTTTCTATGTAAAGAAGAGTTATGTTACGACATTGATAAGATAACCCTTCCATTAGGGGTGAGCTTTACGCTTCTTTTTCAGATGAGACATCCAAGCTGTTAGATTCCAATGGCCAATCCATGCCCTTGGAAGAGATCCATCACACACAGCGGTCACCACTAATAGGAACATCAACAGCAGCACCTGACACAGATACAGAAACCGATGAATCACCACCTACAACAATGCGCAAAGCCCCGCAAAATAAGCATCTACTTGGTGTTGATAACAAGAAATATGGCCACAGGAAACAGCTTAGTCTTTATAGTTGGCTATCAAATACTCCTGCTACTTCACCTAACACCGCAGCAAGACCAGTAGCTACAGACGGTGCAAGACCAACTAAATTGACAATCCAGTCACCGCTAGGTATGGCTCCATTCCCATGCTTTTTTCACATTTTCGAATTCAAACCGAAAATCACCTGCTTTATTTGACAACAGTTTCTCTTGCACAAAGACCTGACCAAACACAAAAGAAAGCGCGAGAAAATATCATTTGAAAATGTCGAAAATTTACAATAGCCATGAAAATTTGCATTTTCCCCGAGTTGAGACTAACCCTGTATTCCCATAGGACATAAGGTTTAAACTTCTGGGAATACAGATTTCCAAAACTTGAAAAACATTATAAAAAATAAATCAACGTTGAGTTTCTTTATCGTTGCAGTTTCTCCAATTAAGTCCGAGCAGAACAATAAAATATTTGGCAGCGAAATGGTGAGTGTGCCGACCAGTGGAAAAAAGATTCAAGATGAAAAAGAAACATTCAAGACCTTACTTCAAGCTATAAGCTTAAAGCCCAAAGTAGCAGAGGAAAAGGACACTGCCAAAACGATTTCGTTAACAACGACATTGAAGTACGTATATGAAAGAAAAACAGACTCCTGTGCCATGTGGGATATAATGAATATAATACACGCATGCGTGATGATCATATTCCATGTATTTTTGGTTCGCAACTCCTAAAGTCGTTTGAAAAGAACCGTGAGCATCTTAAATAAGTATGGAATGTTTGCAGCGATGTAAACAAGCTCATATTAAGGCCAATAAACATCAGCTGTAACCATAAAAAGATTAGTCTTCCTTGAAATTGTCATCTTGCTTAAACAATGTTGTAAATCTTGTCTTATTTTCACTGAAGAATTGAAGTTAAAAAATATTGTTAACATTCCAGACATTATTTAGGTGCTGAAGGTTCTTTTCAAACGGTTGTAAAACTCCCATTTCTTCTATTATTTTCAGATATATTCGTGTAGATTTGGTGGATGGGGAAATTAATAATTTATCTTCAAGTAGTAAGAAGCGAAAGACGTCGAAGCAGGTTAGTCACGCATTATGTATCACTATGTCACGGTGTTCTGATGCTGCAGTGTTTCATAACGCTGTCAACTGCAAAAAAGACCTTTCTTTTATCATAAACACCTATTTTATTAAATGTAAAACCCTTCCATGAAAATCCCTTTTTCTTCATCAATCAGTCTTCATCAATTTCGTTTTGTCTTCTCTGTCCTCAGCTTTTTAAAGACGACGAGCCAATTTTCCTCGCAAAAGACTTCAACTTTAGACTACTGTTCAGCAAATCTCCTATGAATGCTAATATTCTTGGCGGTGATCTTCAATCCTTGTCYAATTCCATGATTAATCGGGTAAAGTTTAGCGTTGGGGTTGGCAACATTACTCAGAAGGTGAACTTTCCTTTTGTACGACTTGTGATCCASCTGGTTGACATGGTGGATGTACTGGCAGGTCTTATCAAATCAAAGGTAGTGACGTTACGAATATTCGTCCATGTAAATATCACTGTTGTTGTTGTTTTTGTTGTTGTTGTTTTACTTTAAAGTGCGACTGAGCCCTTAGAAAATCATTTTTAACAAAGGCAAATATGATGCTTATCATTGTTTTGAAGAAGAAAAATTTGTTTGAATTTTGCTTTTCTGAGTTAGAGGGATTTGAAAATTGAAATTGCTAATGAACTTGACGTCAATCAAGGGCTGGAGGTTTTTCATTGTTTGCGATATCTTGCGTTTGGTTGAAATGATCAAACCATCAATAACAGTAATATTGAAGAGCTGGAAATGGTATTCTCGATCTATTCTTTCGTGATTTTGCAGGGGGAAAAAATCATTCCTACGTTGACGTCACTTAATTTGCATTTTCGATTTTCAAATGCTTGTAAATCAGAAGATATAAAGTTGAATGTTTTTTCCCTTTGCAGAAGTGCTTAGCAGCATGTTCTCTTTCGAATAAAATGATCCTCTAAAARGGTTCAGTTGCACTTTAAGTTTTAGTTTTGTTTTTATTTTGTCGTTTCGTATGGACTTCTCCCGTTATCATGCTTTGCACAAACATCGTATAGGTTATCATTAGTGACTTAATCACATTCATGCCATATTCCTTTCAAGATAATTGGATTTCACAGATTATGATAATAATAATTCTTTATTCCATAAATACCAGAAATGTTACATTAGAAAATAATTGCAGGAGATGCGGATTTCATCTTCTCTTGTCGAAAATCATTCACTTATAGACCTCTGCAGCTTTTACGTCATGTACCGTATACGCAATGTATTGTAGGATATGTTTGGGACAGAACATGGCGGATTTCTTTTGTTTTCTCTTGAAAYTGATCCCAYARTGCATTGAAAATCAAGTAGTGACGTAAAAGGTTCAGAAGTCTATTCGCAAGATAACATCATGAGTATATCCGCGTGTCCAATAAATAACAGCTTTGGATTTATTTTTTGTTTTGTTTTTGTTTTTAACTATATCAATAGTTTTGTTGAGTTTTCTCGAATTGTGTTGCTAATACTCATTGACTAATGCTAGGCGGAAGAAATACAGGCTGATAAAGTTGACGGACCAGCTCCGCACTTCACCAATGTCTTTGGTCCATCTAAAGTGCGYAGTACTTCCCCGTCCAGCGTAAAGTGCTGGAAGACTATGTACCAAGTGTTGGATTTGTACTCGTCCTTGCCACGAGAACCCAAAGGGAAATCTGGCTTTAAGAAAGCTGGAACGCCTAGTTCAGGCCGCGGTAGGTATTGCAGAAGCAAAGTCTAAATCACATTCGCGTTCTTTTGCTGGTAATATCTCCCCGTGGAGATTCATAAAAGGAACTCTCCAGTTGAAAGTTGTGTTATCCTTCTCTATTTGCTAATCTAAGCCACACTTATATACCAAGAGGTATTAGGTAAGAGAATACATGTATGTCCCCCATCTTGAGTTTTGCACCCATCATGAGAACGTTTCAGTCTATTTTCAACTCCTGAATGGGTCCAGGGATAGGTATCCTAGCTCATTCTGTCTTGACTATATAAGTGAACGTACAATGACGTAGTTTGTTTACATCCAACATTTCAAATTCAAAAATAAGCAATCCGAACTCATATAATTCACGATTTTATTACTCTCAACAATACCTGAAAATTTTAGGGACTTTAGGGCAAACGCCTTTTTATATTTTGAGATATCGGTATTTCAAAACTACAAAATCTATAGAAAACATTCAGTGGTTTGCAACATTATTCCCACCACGGTCATTTCTTAAGAAAATTTTACAAATTCGGCGCTTGATATCTCTTAAAATATTTAATCAATTGCCTTCGAATTTTCAGGAATCGAGCTCTTTTCATTTATTGCCTTGATTTTCTTGTATCTTGAAATTCGATTTCTGCCTTGTATGCAAATTAGCTAAAACGTAAACATTGGCGCCCACCTATACTAAATCATTCGAGCATTACGTAGTGAACTGACTGGTCTTTGAGTGTACACTCATGTGCACTGGTTATTAAAAGTTCTTTGGAGTTATATGTCACTTCAGTCTCATTAGTTCTTGTAAGACATGCGCCATCTTGATTCTTTCATCAGTACAATGATGCATTTGGTCTAGTACAACTGACGTCATAGAGTGGGAGGACAAATATATTTGTCAATTTACTGGTCACAAGTCACACTGAGTTAAGATTTCTTCCCTTTTTGTAGCAGTTGATTCGCCAATGCGTTTGAAGGAAGTCAAGATCGACATGGAAGACGGCCCACAGACGTTCAGTCCCGCGCGGCGTCAAGATGATCACCGGCCATTGATTGATACCTATTCTATAGTAGGTGTGGTAACTTTGCCAAGTGCTCGTCTATTGGCATCGATAGGTGATCTACGCCAAGAGATAGACATCAAAGATGTCAGTTTTGTGCTAACTAAAACTGAGGAAAAAGGTGCCGATGAAACAGGTATACCCTATCCTCGCCCCTTGCTCGCGGTTCGTGGCATTTTTCTGTTGCAATATTGGACTTGTTAAACTATTTGAGATCTTCTTTTAAACGACAATTGCATGCATTTTATCATAATGTCTTGTGGAGGTCATGTTTAAGGTAGCCTCCCTTAGCAGCCGCCCCTGTGTCGTCACGGAAGAAGCGTTGCGTGACGACACAGAGGCGGCTGCTAAAGAAGGCTATGTTTAAGGCTGCGTTGCCACTTTCCGGCGGTCTGCGGTTTAAGGGGTTGCATGAATTGAGGGTCCGCATGAACTGATCAAGTGAGAATCGCCATAAATATTTGTGCACTAAAGACCCTGGTACATCCGAGAATCTTTGTGCGATTTTCTCTTGTTTAATCAATCAGAAAGCAGCTTTTAACAACAGATATTTAATAGCATTCGCAAAGGTTTTCGGATGCAAGTAGGTCTGTTGTTCTAGTACGAGTTTATTTCTTTCAGATCGTCATTCAGGCTCCATCTCTTTCCATGTTGGAAATGTCAATTGTGTTCTCTTGGAAAAAGTGAAGCAAAATCACGGGTACAGAACTCAAATTACAATTTCATGCTACAAAAATCAGTACACATATCAAATTCTTCATCTTCAAATTGAGAGAATGAATTTGTCCCTTTGTATTTTCGCTGGGGACTGGCATCTTTACCATTCCTCAATAGCGAAGTGATTTTATATTTAAAACATATTTGAATTCTTTTGTTACATTTGATGTGTCAGCAGTTTTTAATGTGTAGTTCTAATTTTGCCTGATTATTGATAAATTAATTGTTGAGTAATTAATGCCACGTTGTTCTGTTCATAGCATGGTTGTCTCAGTCCTYATGTCCCGATCGCATGCTGTCTACTCGTACCAGTCCCATGCCAGTGCAGAAAAGAACGTTGCCTTTGTTTCCGTTGGTGTCATCGACGTTGAAATCCCCCAACATCCTGTAGCACTCCACACTATGATGACCCGTAGCTCCCGAACTATTTCAAGACAAATTACTGATATACAAAGTCAGAGGTCTATAATAAGGTTTGTGTAATTGTAACTATTGGCAATAATAAGTCAAGTTAAATTAAAAATAATAATAATTATAATAATAATAATAAACTTTATTCTCCGTTCAAAATAAAATTCAAAAATAATTTTACAATTATAAGTTCACTATTAAATTTCATTGGTAAATTGCGTTAATTTAAAATTATTTTGATTAGGGTTTTTTCCCTTTTCTTTTCCCTTTTGTCTTTCTTTCTTTTGTTCTTTTCTTCGTTTTGTTTTATTACCGATTCCGGTTACATTTTTGCTTAGTTTTCGTCTTCTTTTCTTTCGTTTCCTACGAAAATATGTTATAGAAAAAATGTGGCTTATGAAACAAAATAAATGTTTTTTTTCTCACTCACAAATATTCTAGGTGCATGGGTGTGACCGACACAACCTCACCTCCTAGCTACACTAAAAGACTGTCAGGAGTGCCTGCAGAATTTGTAAAACAACATTTAGTTGGGTCACCAACCGGTGCAAAAGTGTTTGCCGACAGTGTTGATGGACTGAAACCAGATATCATCCCTGTTAAATGTGATATTGTACTCAAAGGGTTCTGCCTTAGTGCGTCTCTACTTCCCTCATTGAGAGCTGGTTACAAGGTTTGTTATTCTCATGTCATATGCATTGCAGTTTATTGCATATATGCAGCTTTGTCGCATTGTTTTCTTTCGATTTCTTTGCTTTCTCTACCGCAAATCCCATCTACCAGTATTTTTTTCCAGTACGTTTGAGTTAAATTTGTGTGCAGAAAAGTTTGAATATTTTATTGAATATTTTTGGTTCCTTATCAGCCGAATATTTATTTCTGAATTTGCTATTACATCTTTGGTGTCCACCTATTTTTTGATACAAATCTAATATTGCAATATATAAATTAAACCCGCTTTGTTCAGATTGGTAGGATTTCTGCAACCACTAATACTGGATCGTGTAGTAAGTTCAAGGCTACTATGCCATCACACAGCCTTATGTTTTCGTCAAAGGTAAGCTTAGTACACCTTACTAAAAATACATGACATTTTTGACATACTATAAATGATATTCCCTAAAGTAGACTTTCTTTATTCTATTAAAATGAGAGTTTCCAATTTATTTATTCTTTTGATTGTTTTGTGATATTTTTATAAACCTTTTTAATAAACAGGTGCAGACATTTGAATCGAACGTGCCTTCTTCTGCAATGGTTGATCTTCCTCCWGTCAAAGTATCAGGAGAATTCTTAGCGGGTAAAATCACTCGTCCTAGGTCAGGCCATAGAGGCCAACGTGCTCATTTGTACGTTAATGCTGAGATTGGGGCCTTTCAACATTGCTTAACGACAGACCTGCTTAATCATCTGGTCTTTGTACAGAAGAGTTTTATGAAGGTAAGATTTTATTTGTTCTATTATAATCAATTTTACTATAAAAATATTTTAACTCTGAAATTGTATTTGATTCACTGTAAAGGACTCTTTCTTCTTCTTTCATTGTCCTATTGTTCGTAGAAAAAAATCTTATACAGTCTTGATTACTGTATCAATAATTATAGTAATTTTAGAGAAAACGTGCGGCCGATTCCCATATTGGCTTACATAAAGCAGCCTAAGCGTCTTGCTTTTCCGTCTTCTCTGTCTTGGCGCGTACTTAATCATTTGGGAGCGGTCGAATGTTGGAAAAGTAGCTTCAATTTCTTCTAGCAGTTTTTTTTCTTCTATCTAAAGGTTACAATGTAGTTGTTTATTGTATTTTCGAGGCTTTAAAATCATATTCAGATATCAAATGCCAAATTTGGAAAAAAACTGCAAAGTGATGCTCACGACTGTTGATCTGATCATAGAAGACTCGTCGCCGAGCTAGTATCCAAATTGTTGTACATTTCATTACATATGCCAAAAACGTATTTGTGGGATTTTTCTCCYTTGGGGTTTAAAGCCACGTTTGACTYCTCCCATTAAGCCACCCCCCGATCCTTACCCTCCAAACAACACGTAAAAAAAATAAGATTAAATAAGTTGTTATAGATATTCGAAAAGGCTTCTAATCTGTAACCGTGTGATAATTACAATTGTCAGTTAACAGACTGTTTTAAGTATTACTCACGAACTATTTTTAAAATGTCTTTTTAATCATTCAAATGACTTAGAGTTTCGTTCACTGTTCAGTTCACCTGTAGCTTTGCTCTCTGCATTCTCTTTTTTGTTCGTGTTTTTTTGCACAAATGCTAGCGTAGTCCACCAACCTGTCTGCGGTCTTGATGAGGTATTAATGTCGAACTCTCTAATTCTCAACGGTGCAACTGTACTGAACGCCTCACAATTTCTAGCTTGTGTATCTTCTGACTCACTTAACATCATCGCTATTGTTCTTGATTATCCAGTATGCTTATTTTGTACTGTTGGGGTTCAAACATTGTCCCGCAAGTTGCAACCCAACTTTAGAACACGTCACCATTCAGTAGAAATCGTGACTTCCAACCAGTGAGGAAAACTCAAACTTAGGATTAAAGCCTTCTCAAAATAGTTRAGGAAATTTTAGATTAAACATCTTCCAAAAAGAGCTTCAGTTTCTGGTTTCTGGTCAACGGAGGGGGTTTGGAGCGTGGTTTGAGAGAGCACAGGGGTAAGTTACATTTGTCCTCTAAAATTACCAGCACTCCTTTTATAATCGTTGCCCAAGATTCGCTAGCATTTGGAGTTGTTAGCTGATCTCCACATTCCTCCAACAACGTGAAGAGCTCAGTGACATTGCTTATGCTGTCGTTGGAGAACGTATCGATGCACGATAAAATCAAAATGTACAAACCAACAACAATTACATTGACTACTAATGGAAAGTCTCTCTTCAAGCCAGATACCTCTTTGTACAAGAATTCGTCTCGATGAAATCTTTCTTTCATRCAGACGGRAAAGGATATRAGGATATATCTTTCCACACAGTTTGTCTTCACAGCCTTGATGATTATTGGTGTAATGTCACAAAGAACTGCAAGTGCCTGGCCACTGTCTCCTTCCAGATAGTAGAACAACGCCAGCTGAATGATTCCAGATAATCCCTCGTCATCAAAGCCACAAGGGTATGTAAGTCTTAGAGAATCCATGTACAGACGTTCAGCTCTTCTTTTTGAATCTCTTGTTACTTGTGAATGGTAGAAATCAGCAATTTSTCTGCATATCATTACGTGAAATGCGTCAGTCATATCMGGGGAAACYAGTTCTGGAAGCCTTGTCAAAATGTCCTCCAAGGCTTTACATTGTGTTCTGTTCCACACAGTCATCATCACTRTAAGAGAAGATAAGATATTTGCCTCGTTTACCAAAAGAGTTTCAGAAAATGACACAGTACTTTGACAGTACTGTCGTACTACTGAGCACAATTTTCGACATGACTTCCCGGAAATGTGTCGTGGAATAGAGTSTACCACTTGGTAGACGATATCCAACTCTTCTTCGCACAGCAGTTCTGCTATAATCACTTTCAAACGACCAGAAGACAATATAGAATGAATCTTGTCTGCTAGAACCAGGCAGTCTTCTCTTTTCTTATGGTCTATCATGTTGTTTTGTGGTATGAAGTAGTTAGGAATGCAATGCTCTCTGTACATTGACTGGAGAATAAACAAGGACTTGTAAAACATTTCGACCAGTCTGCTTGGAATCCACCAAYCTTTTGGAACAGCTTCACTCATCCACAGAAGGACTGTTTTCAAATAATATGAACACAGGATGTCGGGGACTACTAAAATGAATCATTTTAATGTTCTTTAAGAGATAGTAGCAATAAAACTGGGTWTCATTCCAGTTTTCTASCAAACATCTCTCGGCTTCACTGAATGATAGCCTCCACTCCACATCTGCATCTTTACTCAAAGCGTGACCTTTTGCAACGGCATGCAGACTCGAGCTTTTCAGCTGTTCAGCCAAATCGTCTGGGATATTTGAGCGATGAAAAATATCCTTAGCAAAAGTAGGCCATTGTTTGCACCTGATCGCGTGGACAACGTCATACGATGTGCTCTCAGTCGCTGATAGCGTGAGAGCTGGTCCATGAGCTTTAAAGYTGCTCCCAGTTGTCCCCCATTCTTGCATAGTTTGMACAAACCCGATGCTCCTCAAGTAATAATGTCGTCCTATTTTTCGTATTTGATAATCTTGAAAGYTGTAAACTTTTCGTGTGTCATGTGGAACAAYTATTTTGATAAACCCGGCGTGACAGCCTGTCTTGACAAATGGTAGTTCGTYCACATTATCAACYATMTTSSCCGTGTATTCATACGCCGCCACCCATGATGCTACAAGCATCATATCCAAATCTCCAGCATTTGGCATTCCTTGGGTGTAACTGCCAGTATAAAGGGGCCAGGACTGAGAGGTTTTAAGGTCTGGAAGTAATTCACGCCACTTTCTTGCATATCCTTCCCAAACTTTGGAAGTGTTCATCCTCAGACGACGGGTGGACATTTCATGTGATAGTATCTCCAAAACAAAGTCGTTCCATGAAGCTGATTGTAATTYCTYTGGCAAAAGTGTATCATTTATTAGACCTCTCAGATTTTGTATTATATTCCCCGTGCAGTCTTCCATTTTTGCTGTGAATACTGTAAACGACACATGGTAATGTTAGAAAGAAAAAAAAACTCTAATGCTTGCGCTCTAGAAATAGCCAAGCCGTGCTAAATAGCGCTTAATAGAGTCATTTTAAATCGTCTGTGAAACAATAACTACTAGTCAGTGTTTAATAGTAACTATTAGGGTGTAGTAGGCTACAAAAGGCAAAATCAAAACCGTTTTTGCCTAATTTAGCTAGTAGGGGGTATTAAATAGTATTTAAATCGGCAATTCCTATTTCACAGACGGATGAAAATGACTCTAATGATGTAGATTAAATATATAACACAAACAAAGGAGTTTGCATAGAGTGAGGTCATCATTTAATTTGACTGTTTAAGTGTGATAGTCAAATAGACACACCAAAAAATATGCAATTAGTCTGAGTGTTCTAAGGTGTATTAGTGTAGTATTTCACAGTTTTTTTTCGCTTTACTCTAAGTGCGTTGGCTCTAGTCAAGTACTAATTACAGCACAATGATTTGAGTGAAGTGAAAAAGTCTGTGAAACAAAACTGGACTATTAACGTGTGATTGTCAAATAGACACAGAACAAAACAATGCAATTAGAGCGTACTAAGATGTATTAGTGTAATATATATTTCACGGGTTTTTTGACTTCGCTCTAGACAACAGAAAAGGAAGAAATTAGCATAATTTAACACCTGTTTTGTGCTAATATTGATAGACATGGAAGATTTAGTGCAAATGTATTGCGTTCCACTGGTATTATTATTAGCAAACGGAATACACTGCAAAAAGGATTCTGGCATAGAGACAGAAAGGTATTCATGCAAAACCCGTCGGGTCGTGACTCGTGGTATGTTTAGTTCTTACGCTCACCGTGATATTTGATCTACAATTCAAAGTATTTCTGCATTAATTATACTTTTTTCAATATTCTTGTTTTTGGCCTCACTGAAATACGATTAGGCAGTCGCAATTCTGAAAGAGGAGTTCAGACTTTGAATATTTTAAGAATATTTGCCAAAAGTAAACAAACGTAACCGAAGCGTTTATCGCGCTTCCCTTTCCATAACATAGGTTATTTTTTCCCGATGCAACCGAAGCAAACTCGCCTTTTTGGTTAAAATAAAATACCGAAATAAAGCGTTTTATGATCTGATGAACTATATTGTTGTTGATATTTTTAGATTTCGCAGTATTAAAAGAACTGAAGCGTATTATTACCCTTTTCTATGAGTGATATTATACCTAACAGAAGCTTTCACTTTCTGTTTATTTATCTTTCCTTGCGAAAAAGCGCTAGAATCGAGCCATCAATAGCCTGGGATACATTATAGCCTGAAGCGTATAATATTTTTTAGATCAAATTTTAAAGTTGATTTCTTTTATCGAATTCATTGGTATAGTCAACACTTTTCATCTCTAACACTTACGTTTTATCAAGGAAGATACAAAGACGACTTACAATTCTCCATCATTCCACTACAAATATCCGAATCCTTTTGTTCTGGAAGTTATGTTGACCACAACAGGTCAGCATCTGCATTTGTCTGGCGTTGAAGGAAAGAAGATGCTCGAGAGCACAAAACATACAGACGGCTTATCAACAGGAAGCCGATAATACATTAATCGATGCAAATTTGACGCTACCACAGGAGGCCCAGCTTTTTATATTAATTTTTTTTTGCAACTTCTTCTTTCTTTTTTACTATATTTTTTCTATAGATTCTCAGTAGACGCTTTTTGACCTTAGTATACTGTCAAGTCATTTGACAATTTAAATAGCTTTCTTGCTTAAAAATGTACTTTGAGATTTTGTTTCACGGGTTTAATGACCTGACTCCGATACACACAMAACAATACATGAGACATATGGGAATACYGCTGATCAGTTTCGTTTAGAAAAACACTTCTCTCGGCCATATGACTCGCTCAACAAGATATAATATATTTTAGTACATGGCATATTAAAAGGCCCCCTCGTTCTGTGTAAAGGTGTTTAAATAAATCATGTACGTAATTATGTATGAAACTAAAGAGCAAATAATGGAGGTAGTATTGGTTTGGATCGCCCTCGGTCTTACAAACAAACAGCCAACGTACTTCAAGGCATCGGACAGATTTCATAATAACAAACTCTATGCCGATGCCGGTGAGGTGAAGTTAATTGCATTTTTACCTATCCTATTTTTACTGATGTCTGTGTTGCTTGATCACCCGTGGTTTTGCTGGTCACGTGCTCAATCTAACGTGATCCCGGGATATCGGTTGGTGAGGTGGAATCTGACATAAAGGATTCGATGTCATTTTCTTCAAGTTATCGTAAATAGTATTTAAATACGATAACTTGAAGAAAATGACATCGAATCCTTTAAAAACATGCCAAAAGCGTGGTGTTAGTTGGTGTTCTCTAGCTAGGTTAGATTTTTCCCAGTAATTTTCACCCTGAATATACTACTCATTCCTCCCAACAACACATGAAGAAAGATTCTATTAAATAAACGTCTGGGATATTTGAGCGATGAAAAATATCCTTAGCAAAAGTAGTCCATTGTTTAAACCTGATTGCATAGACCAGGTCATACGATGTGCTTTCGCTCATTGGTAGCCTTATAGCTGGTCCATGGGCTTCACATTTTCTCCCTTCATACTCTTGCATAGCTCGCATAAACCCGATGCTGCTCAAGYAATCACGTCTACCAATTKTTCGTGTTAGGCTATCTAGAAAGYTGTAAACTTTTTGTGTGGTATACGGAACAATAAGCTTTATAWATCCGGGGTGACAAATGGTAGCTCGTCCACGTTATCAACCATCTTACCGGTGTATTCATACACCGTCAACGGTAGTTCTTCAGTGATCATATCTAAATCTCCAGCATTGGGCATTCCCTCCATGTAACTTCCACAGTAAAGGGTCCAGCTTTGATAGGTTTTCTGGCCTAGTAATTCATAATACCTCATCATATGACCTTCCCAGACTGGTTGTGTTCATCCTGAGTCGACTGGTGGTCATGTGATGTGATACTATCTCAAAAAAGTCATTCCAACAAGCTTGTTCCTCTTGTAAAACGGCTGCATTCATAAGGCCACTCAGCTTTTGTAATATGTTCCCTGTGCTGTCTGCCATTTTAGACTTAACTTCACATCACAAAAATTATTTTTAATATTCTTTATTATTTTTATTTTTATTACTCATCGAAAGAAACAGAAGAGAAGCCTACAACATCACAAAACCTTAATCAGTCGGGTTTTTTCCATTTCATTGTTACCTGTCACAGACAAGGGGAGATATAAAATATTAAACAATTTCATGTTTCGAACTTTGAAGTAAACAAGAAACCGAAGCAAACTTGCTTTTTTTGTTCTAAATAAAATACTGAAATAAAGCGTTTCATGATCTGATCTTTAGTAAAATAAAGTGATATTGATATTTTCACATCAAACTGAAGCGTATTATAACTCTCTTTTAGTGATGTTATTATACTAATAGAAGCTTTCACTTTTTGTTTATTCAGTTTTCCTTGTAAAAAAAAGCGATAGAATCGAGCCATCAAGACCCTAAAATACATTATAGCTTGAAACAGACAATATCATTTGAATCAAATTTAAAGGTTATTTCTATAATGAACCGAATTCATCCGTAGAGTCATCACTTTTCATCTCTAATACTTACGTTTTGTCAAGGAAGATACAAAGACGAGTTACATGATTCCGATATAGCAAAACAACACATGAGACTTATGGGAATACCGCTGATCAGCTTCGTTTGGCAAAACACTTCTTTCGGCCATATGACTCGCTCAACAAGAAATAACATATTTTAGTATGTGCCAAGTTAGAGGTTCGCAATTAAGGTCCTCTTGTTTCTAGTTGTGCAAACGTGTATATATAAATCATATACTAAATATGTATGAAGTTAAAAAAAATTGATTAATAATGAATGCCATGTCGGCTAGGCTCGCCCTTGGTCAAGCGAACTTAGAATGTACTTCAAGGCCTCGGGGAGTATTTCATAATCATACGAACCTCTAAACGCCTGTAAATTTTAGAATTGAGAATCTGTGAGCTGGAGTTTKATTGCACTTCTACCGATCCAATACAGATACGTAGGATTTTCGATTCAAGTTCAAGTTGCATTATCCATGGCGTTTCAGTTCTTCCATGTAGACAAGACGATTAGCGCTAAGAATTGGATTCAGTGACGCTAAAACAAAGGAGGGGCCAACGGGGATTCCTGGGAGAAATACCTGTTCTTACGTCCCAGCCAGATGAAATTAGCAAGTGGTTGCCAGAAAGATTATAACAATCTCAGAAATATTTTTTTTTAAAGGAAACTAACAAATTCCTAAATAATAACGTTTCCTAAGGGCTAAATGATCTAAGCTCCTCATTTGTGTAGCAAATAACAATCAGACAAAAAAACCTGTAGAACAATTGCTTGTTAGAATATCATCTGAGCGGGATTTCATTTCCAGGAAAAAACCGTATAAGAACAGTTCTTTACTAAAAAGAACACAAGTCGCAGGCTCCTACTGAAGAATTCCAAAAACGTCTACTGATGTCTGTTGTTTGCTAGCCTGCGTAGCGGCTATGCATCCTTGTTGTTTGCTTGATCGTTCATGCTTTTGCTTGTCACGTGTTCAATCTCACATGATCCCAGGGAATCGATGGGTGAGGTAGAAACTGCCCAGCTACAATCAAACTTTATTTTAAAGCTAGTCAGACAGCTGCCATATTCCTTTTTACATTTGCAATTAGTTATTTAAGTTATCGTCAATATCTTTTACTTATAATAAAAAAACGTCTTTGTGCCATTTCCTTCCCAGGTTAGATTCCTCCCAATACTTCTCTCCCTGACTATACACGCCTTCCTCCAAACTACACATGAAAAAATTATATTAAATAAACGATTGAATTATAAGTTACAATGATATATTTTAGGAGCTTCTTAGTTACAGACATGTGATAATTGCAAAGGTTAGTTCACCGTTCTAAAAGTTACTACTTGAAATGTCTTCGGATTTAGAGATTCCTTTGCTGTCTAGTTCACSTGAAGGTTTGCTCTTCTTTGTCTCTCAAGACTTTTKCCGAGACGCTAGCTTGACCCACGTACCTGCTTTYGGTGCGTTGAGAGRTACGGATGTCGAACTCTCTCTTTCTCAACGGGACATTTATACTAAAAAAAGGTGGTTCACCTTCTGGTTTCTGGTGAACGGAGGGGATTTCGAGTGCGGTTTGAGAGATAAATTACATTTATCCTCTAACATTACCCGTACTCCTTTTATAAGCGTTTCCCAAGATTCATAAGATTTTGAAGTTATTAGCTGATCTCCACATTCCTCCAACAAAGTATAGAGCACAGTTAAATCGCTTTCGCTATCCTTGGAGAACGTATCGATGCATGATGCACGAATCAAAATGTACAAACCAACAACAATTACATTGACTACTAATGGAAACTCCRTCTTCAAGCCAGAKACCTCTCTGAACAAGAARTCRTCTCGAAAGAATCTATCTTTCATGCAGACGGAAAAGGATATGAGGATATATCTTGCTACACAGTTTGTCTTCACARTCTTGATGATTATTGGTCTTACTTTACGGAGAACTGCAAGTGCCTGGCTACTGTCTCCTTCCAGGTAATAGAACAACGCCAGCTGAATGATTCCTGATAACTCCTCATCATCAAAGCCACAGGGGTATGTAAGTCTTAGAGATTCCATGTACAGTCGTTCAGCTCTTCTTTTTGATTCTCTTGTTACTTGTGAATGGTAGAAATCAGCAATTTGTCTGCATATCATTACGTGAAATGCGTTAACCATATCATTGGAAACCAGTTCCGGCAACCTCGACAAAGTGTCCTCTAAGTCTCTACAGCACGTTCTGTCCGATACACTTAGTAAATCTGTCAAAGAAGATAAGATATGTGCCTCTCTTACCCAAACAGAAAATGACACAGTGCTTTGACAGTATTGTCGTACGACAGAACACAAATTTCGACATGACTGCCCAGGAATGTGTCGTGGAATATAATTTACCGCTTTGTAGACAATATCCAACTCTTCTTCGCATAGCAGTTCTGCTATAATCACTTTCAAACG